GATTCACCTGTGGGGACACACGGGGCCGGTGTTTTCCTCCTGGGAATCGAGGTTATCCCTGCGTCCAGGTACCAGATACCCCCACCCGTGTTTCTCTGTGTAATGCAAGGGGAAACCATCCCAAGTCAAACCCATCAGTTTAGGTGTCAGTCGCATTTGCAGGCTGATCAGACTGGCTCCAGGTGACCAGCTGTCGTCAGACATCTTCTCACACAGCTTACGATACCACCTAAAGAAGAAAATAAGGAGGAAAAAGAACTGACTTACACCACCAGTGGGAAACAGAACTGGAAATGGCTCCGTGGTGTGCGAGAGCGATCTTACCCTGGATGTGCAGGTAGATGCTGCCTTCTCTTTGGAAGTCGATTCACTGTTTCTTTTAGGTTCTCAACAGCTAGCCGGCTGGGGCGAGGGCCGTCCATCTCTTCTTCAGATGGTGGACCTGGGTCTAATATAACAAAACTGAATTATCTCTGTTACTTTATTAATAGTCTGTGTGCACTGTAGATATATCATACCAATTACACAAATATTCTGAATTAGCGTCTGAGCTCAGACCTTCCTCCCAGTCTGGAAGAGGAGTGGCGATTTGTTTGTTATCTGCTTTTTTGGAGCCTTTCTTCTTGCTGGCTGCAACTTTCTTCTGCTTGAACTCCTGCACGTCCCAATCAAGATCCCAAAGCCAGGGGTCTTCTTTGTATCTTAGTATAAACACACAAACCTTATGCGGTGTAAATGCTTTTAAAAGAACCTTCAAAGCTTGACATAAATCAGTGCTGGTCTCACCTGTCATTCTCCAGAAGCTGACACGCATCATCCGCTACAATCATCAGAGACTTCTTCATCTCTCTCTGAAGCTCTTCATAAACATCTTGAGAATCTTCCAGGTATCGCCCCCAGTTTTGATTGACGGGAAGGTAGCTCACACCCATCTCCAGCATCCCTGCAAGCGTGACTGGATGAGGGCACCTTATAAAAACACAGCAGAGACAACACAATTATACAATGCTGTGTTGCGTACATTTGTACACAGAAGATAAAGATGACTATAAAATAGCTTTGGGTTGGGATTTGCTGACCTCTCCATGAAGAGGGGCAGCTGTTCTGTGAAGACCTCATGTGTGGCCTTAACGTCAAGGGCGCAGTATTGCATTAACTCCTGTAGGTGTCAGCAAAATCACATGTATTTTGCCTAAGTGTCCATTCAGGCCAAATGCAAGATCTAACAAATGGTTCACATTAATCAGACACACATTTTGCCACAAATCTGACCTGGAAATTGTTCCTGACATCCGTCATGCTCCCCTTCACAAAGGTCTCTCTGGCTTCTTTCTGCAGTGGCGGCCCTCCCACATACAGAGCATGGACATCAGCCAGGTTGTTAATGCTGCTAATATTCACCCAGTCCCAGGAGCCGATCTGTGCACACAACATCATGTCACACTTATGCCAAGAGCCTTCCAAATACCAAATGATAGCCTCAAAATATTACGTAGGTGAACTGTAGAAGAAAAGGACACAAACCATTGGGCCCTCGTGTTTCTTCCCAGCTTTCTTAATGTGTTCCTTGACCTCCTGAAGACCCCTCTTTTTACCCAGCTTACTGGCCATCCACAGTGTGCGCTGGAAGCCGGTTAACCCTGAAATGGCCATGTGAAGGCTCATGGTGTCCATGAAGCGCACCTTTGAACCCTTATATGGAAGCGAATACAAGCATACAAAAGCTACTGGGCATTATAGTGATTCATACAAAAAGAGGATTTTATAAAGTGAGGAGTAAAAGCGACATGTGAGGAATAGGATGTAAACCTTTAATAGGTACTGCTCCTTAATGTGAGCCCGGTCAAAGCTGACATTGTGGCCCACAATCAGTCTCTCCTTCCATTTACCCCCTGGAGCGCGAGCAGAGTTGAAAGGTGTCTCTAGGGGAATGAGATCAGCAAGGGTCAGGTGGTATGACCAGGAGTATCGCTCTTCAATCAGACGCTTACTGCACCACGAGTACCTAGAAAAATAGGACCCAGAGATCACTGAGGCACGTACCAGTTATCTTTAAAACGTTTTATTGTTAGCAATTGTTGAATGTTTTAAGTATGAAACAACTACAACAACATAATAAAGTAAATGAACGGATTGTTCTATACAACCCGGTCCCATTTTGGCTCATTTCTTACCAGTTGGTTGGAGAAACAGCAACAGCCAGAGTGGGACACTGTCCCTCCGTTGTGCACACCTCCACATCAAACACGAGAGCTGACTCATCTGGAAAATCTACTTTCTGACTCTCCCCAGTGGGCCCATAGCGTGTCCAGCCGACCTCCCAGCTCCATTCCTGAGGCATGGGTGGTAGCTCTGCCAGTTTCAGCTTGGTGGCAGCCTCAAGGTAGGGAAGGCTCTGTGTCTGGGCCAAGTGACAAAAGTGCTCGTCAATGTCATTGCCATACATTTTGGGGAGTTTCAGGTCGACATCAGGCAACAGTGAGGTGTCCTTTCCCCACAGCTGGTGTTTCTGTAAGTGCCTTATGCTGCGCTGTACAGCCTCCTCTCTGTATTCTGGCTCCAGCCCTCGAAAGATCTGCTCGTGAAGACCTTTTGACAGCATCTGGATGTTAAGGGGGTTCAGGCGGGTTTGTGTGGAGTCCTCGCCCTGAAGTATGTGAGGCTTGGTGGAGCAGAAGCCACGTAGACTCATCCATTGTAAAGAGATACGAGTCCTCTTCAGAGGACAGCGTAACACATGCAGCATCACCTCATGTGGACTTCTCACTCGAGCTGGAAGACATTGATTCAAAACTTAATTGACATGACACTGATCAGTCGTGATAAGACAGCGTGACGGAGGCAAACTGAGACTTAATGCGGCTTTATCTAGGCACCACAGAGCCTCTACACACGATTAAATGTGTACTTTCCTACTGCTGAGTGTCTTACAGCCTTCTCTGTGGTTTTGTGAGCCTCTATTATAACTTGCTTGCACTTTGATATTTCACTCAGGTGTTACTAAAATGTGTATAAATTAACTAAACTTTTGCAATAATGCTGCTAGACACAGATGAAACGTGAACTACGAAGCTAATTCTATCATTTTACCCACCGAATTATAAACGTAGAAAGCTGGTTGCCTCACCTTTTCAAATTATTGTAGCTGTTGCACTACCGACACTTCAACGCATGTTTACTTGGCGCACACATGACGCTACGCTAACGTTTCAGTAACTTAGCAAAAGGCAGTTATTAATCTAACTATGTTTTATTCCAAAACAACCCAGCTGATCAGTTTTATCCGATCTGTTATGTATCCGAAAAGATATTTTTGAAATCATTACAGAATAAATGATAGCTACCTTAGCATTCCTTCTCGTGGGGTTGTATGCCTAAAGCCAAACAAATCGTTAGCGCCACCGTGCGGGCTGGATGACTTTCTTTTCTAGCAGTGGTATTTCAGAAAGAACTGATTGAATGAACACAGCGGACAGCGATTCGATTACGTAGCATGGATAGCGCAAGAATATTCATTTAAAAAAGTCCTATACACGAATACCACAGGGACTGTGAAGAAAATGTTAAAACTCCAAAATACTAACAATGAGATCGCAATGTAGGCCGCGTGGCCTAATGGATAAGGCGTCTGACTTCGGATCAGAAGATTGCAGGTTCGAGTCCTGCCGCGGTCGTCTACTTTTGTTCATTCGGAATTGCTCTTTTAACTGAAGTGTAGCGTAGTTGTCAAAATGTATCGGAAAAACACAAAACGCTTTGCCGCAGACAATATGTAAGGTATGTGAAGAATCAAAGCTATTTTAAGCCCAGTTTCCTGATGTGGATTTAAAAAGTAGCCAGTGTCGCTGTCGGTCTTATTTCACTGCAACACCTGGCTCGTTTCAGCGTTCAAATACAGCGATGCAAAACTGGTATCTGCTTGGTAGATTTTGATTTGTACATATCTAAGATCACGGTGCCAGTGGAGATCTTTTTTTGATTATTGTCCTTGTCGAGATTGTATTACAAACCCTCGGGTGATTTAAACAGTTTTTAGCTGTTGTTGATTTTTAGCAGACGATGGCGGATGCAACTGAGGATGTCGAGCTGGACTTTGCAGCTGACGAGCAGGAGAGGGCGCGGAGAAGCGCAGTCATAAGGTGCACTGCAGGAAATATCAACACAGCAGCTGTTTTATCTTCCATAGTGGCTTTTCAGCTTTGCATTATTAGGTTTTTTGTTTTTTTGAAAACTTGTTGAGCAAAAAAAAAAAAGCTTGTGCAAATCCCTGAACAGATGGAAAGATCACTGGTACATCTCAGGGCCAACATAGAGACAGGAAACAGTTGACACTCTTACATGATCTAATACTTATTTGTCTTTCCTGAACAGGTTTACTCTTAAAGTTAACTCCATTCTGGGAGAGTGAATGTTGAGTAGCTTCTGCTCAGCTCTGTTGATGGTTAGGACTTCCAGCCAATCAATCAATCAATTGAAACAGACTATTATGGATTTTAAAATAATATGGTTTTCATCAGTACCCATTTTCAGGTGTATCAACTCTAAAATCAGGAAATTAACTAGGCTAACTAATTATTTTCTTCTTCTATTGTCTCTTTTTTTTGCCATAATTTTCAGGTAACCTATTTGAAAACAGCGTAGTAAAACTGGGAATTCTTTTTTTGGTGTGCCACCCCAATATTTTTATTATGGCCACCCCATGAAACAATTCTGGAGGTGCCCCTGGTCTTCTCATTTGGCAAACTCTAATTTCAGGATTTCAGAGGGTGGAAACATAGTCAACACCTGTTTTTAATCCCGTCCAGCATGTAAAGAAAGCAGATATTTTCTGTATGCAGTTGTACTTTGGGGGCTGTGTAGCTGATAGAGCTTTAGTTTAAATATAAATCACTAGCTGTTAGAGTACCAGGAGTAAAAGTATCAGTTCAGACTATAACAGAACTCATGCCTGGACTTTTTAACACTCAGCTCATTGAGCACATTACAAGTGGACATGAATATGGCAAAAGAATGTGGATAAGCATGCGGAGTGCGCTTTTTACGATGCCATAAAACTAAC